GCCCAAGATGCCCAATATATTCAAAAGATGTTTGTTTTCACACAAATACTTATAGATAGGATACATTTTTTATCATGGACAAACCAAAGGCCCTTCAAGGTCATTGTCTCCATCAGGGGGTCAGGGGAGGGAAGGGTGGAAGGAAGCAGGCACTTAATAGTTTGTAATGAATGGACATGTGAACAGCGCGCTATAATATTTAATAATTGTTTTTGTTCTTGGGGAATCCAGATAAGGATATCATTCTCCTTTATTTCATCTCACTACAATATAGTTGATTCTGAACATCAAGATGACTAATCCTCTTTGTCCACCTGCACACAACAATTTCAACTCTGGCAAAATAAGTCACTTCAACATTATTTAAGTTGTCAGTGATATTTCTACATCAAAATCACTGTAAGGTCTAACTTATTTTGTTAACTACCTTAGGTGGGATAGGAGAGACTGACAATGATGGACTTCCATACATTTGAGGACTGCGGGTAGACCACATTCTAAATATCCACAAAGCAAACAGGTTTTACATTAGAATTCATCAGAAGTCCCTTTGCAAAATCCTTCATTCATCTCTATTCATTCCACTGAAGCCACACAGGAAGCTCCCCGAGTCTCTAATTGGAGGCTAATAACACACCCAAACAAGATGATGCTATGCTGTGAGCTGTGTTATAGTTCCCAGAGATCAGACTGTCTCTCCCTTGGTGACTCGTGGCGTGTTCTCAGGTAGAGGGAAAAATTAACAAGCTGACTACTTTCCACAGTGTTGTATTAACTATGTTGTAATAACTATGCTCTTCCCATCATGGGAAGCATCACAGTTGGTGCTTAAAGGTCAGAGTCCCTGGCCACGGGGCTGGCTTCCTTGTTTTAAAACGGATGTGTCATTTTCAGGCTTCTAACAGCCATGCATTCATAAGCTTCAGTGGAAAAATAGTTAATCTTGTAGATTAATCTAGTGACCAAAATGAAAATGTGAAGTCAGTAGTAAAATCACAGTTTTCAGTCCCCATTGCCACATTTCTGGAATGGCAGAGGTTTTTATAAATCATTACTCTGTCTTCATTCCTCTTTTCCACTGAATGTCAAAAATTACAAATAGGACCAGTCAAGTGGCTCAGTTGGTTAGAGCAGGAACTCTGAGCAACAGGATCGCTGGTTTGAGTCCCACATGGGCCAGTGAGCTGCGCCCGAGCTGAGCTGCTGCTGAGCTGCTGCTGAGCTAGTGAGAGCACGTGCTATTAAAAACAAAGTTGCCGGTTCGAATCCCGCATGGGATGGTGGACTGTGCCACCTCCCACCATAACTAAGATTGAACATGGCACCTTGAACTGAGCAGCTGCTAGCTGCCGATGGACTCAGTGTGCAACAAGGTTGCTGGTTTGACTCCCGCATGGGATGGTGGGCTACGTCCCACTCCCACACGCACACCCTCACCCCACCCCTGCAACTAGATTGAAAGTGGCGACTGGACTTGAAGCTGAGCGTGCACCCACCCAACTAAGATTCAAGGACAACAACTTGACTCGGAGCTGATGGGTTCTGGAAAAACACAATGTTCCCCTTCGCCAATTTCCCAACACTCTTCCCCTCCCCAATTCCCCAATAAAATCTTTAAGAAACAAAAAAATTACAAACAAAAGGAACCTAGAAAACATCTTCCATCGGCTTCAGAAGAAAAGGAAATGAACATGGTTTTGAGCACGTGACTGTCTTCCAGGCACTGAGTTAGAGGCGCACATATCCCATTGCGCCGAACGCTTCCAGCAACTCAATGGGGCAGCCATAATGTCACATGGAGCAGCTGGAGTTCAAGGAGGTTGAAAGGCTTGCCACGGTCACACAGTTTATATTTGACTAAGTTGAAATTCAAATAAAGCCATGAGCTGTCAAGCCGCGTTGAGGATATTTATACGTGATGAGAGATGCCTTCATTAAAGTTAGAGCAAAAATTTATTAAAAAAAAAAATCAATGTTCCATTGATGATACTACAAAGGATGTAGTCTTTATTTCTCTTCCTGTTTTGTAAATTGATTAATGGCAAAAAATAAATAATAAATAAAATTTTAAAATAGTAAGTTACAAGCACTGTTGTCCTTACACTTCATATGTCTTTTCATTCTATATACCTTTGAAAATTGCTACTTCATTAGAATAAAACATAAGATCACTCCATACAAAGCAGGGCAAGAAAGAGAGCCTTCCACAGCTTGAAGCTACGATTTGAAATAGCAGTTATTTATCATGGTAATGCATACAACTAATTATTAGAGAACAGCAGGAAAGTGAACTGATTTTTCAGGTCTAAATGGCAAGTCCTTCTATAAAAAACAAGATTCACAAATTCTGGGATCACATTAAGATGATAGTTCATTAATAGTGCCCTTCTAGTCACAAAGGAAGCCAAACAAATAGATTTCTTTAAGTCATTCTATCTACTCACCAGGTTGCTTTCTATTTGACACCTACAAAATGGCAGGCTCTCTGGAAAACACATGAAACTGTTGTCTTACACTACTCAATGCGGAGTTAGGGAAGCTACTTAATATTCTGGTGCATTCAATTTTTAGATGCAAGCGTTTAGATGGCATTTGGATTCACTAAGTGACAAAAGTGAAGAAACTTGCACTGACAACCACATGAAGCTTGAAGAATCTCTACACAGCTCTAATTCTACAATGTTGTTAAATGAAATCAATAAATCATCCTTTCATTGGGATGTAAGAAAAAATTACATGGCCAGCAGCTATCGTTACGTAGTTCGGTGGAACATGAAACTTCAACTCAGCGAAAGGCTTTTGAAGATTATTCTCATGTCTGCAGAGCGTGACGTGAGGGGAGGGTATGATGAGCGCTGAGGAGGAGAGATTAAAGAACTACTGCCTATTATCTTCATCGCTGATGAATAATTTGCTCTCGTTTGCATAGAACAATCTACGCCTTATTCAATAATTATCACAGACTGGAAATGAGCAATTCTTTCTCTCAAAACTGAATCACAGCACTTACTAGGCCAAGCGTTTGAGAGTAAAATGAATTAAGCATGTGTGGGGGGCTGAAGGTTTGATATGCGGGAAGGATATTTTTCATCAGAGTTGGTAATAATGTTGACCAAAGCCATTTCAAAAAAAAAAAAAGCTTGGTCTCATCAAATGGAGGAATAGGGAATTCACTGAAAAATTAATAAGTATAAAATGAGATTTTATCATTCTGCACTTTTTCAAGATGCTCACACCCTCGAATTGAAGCTACTCATTATCTCTTAAGAAATACAGAAGGGAATTCAAAAATGTAAGGACAGAACATAATGGTTGTTTTAAAAATTAAATACATCTTGGCTGAGTTATTCTGCTCCTTTTCCAACTTCACACAGACCCCTGGGTTGAATTTCCAGAATCCTTATTAACCAAGACATTATAAACTCCCCAAGGCTGAGTGATTTGCACCACAAAACTGAACAGAAATTCATTTTCCAAACTCTTTTCAAAAAGCATCAATCATAAAAAGGTTTGAATCTTTGGGGCTGGAGGGAACTCTAGCGCAGAAAGCAGAAGGTGAAAGAAGCAAGCAAAGACCAGCAAAATAGGTGCTGCTTTTTGAACTTGAAAATAGCAATCACCAGCTACATGACTTGTATAAAAATAAACATCAGAGGATAGTGTCAAGGTTGAGAAATCCTAAATTGAACCACCATTCTCTTTCTCTTGATGCCTGTTTTCACATTCATGTAATTATTCATGCGTACCTTTACTGGAGATCAAAACCAGGCTACTGTCAACAAAGGTGAGTGAAATCCCAAGTTTTTTGGTCACAAACAACTCTCGTGTAGAAAAGCCCATGTGTAGCTAACATGTGCTCCAGTCCCAGGCGTTCAGGTAAAAAGAGGTAAACCCACTTGTGACCAGGTGTGAACAATGTTTATGTATAATGCCTGAGAGTGAAGGCTCCAGGTCACCCAAGATGTGTTATCCTCCCCTGGTTCAGGATTGTTCAGGGATTACGAGGTACTGAGCAAGGCGAGGATGCCAGGAGCCATGTAG